ATCCCTGTGCTCTGAGAGGATCCAGGGAAAGAGGAGCATCCCTGTGCACCGAGAGGATTTAGGAAAGGGGAGCATCTCTGTGCACTGAGAGGGTCTAGGGAAAGGGGAGCATCCCTGTGAACTGTGAGCATCCAGGGAGAGGGAGCATCCCTGTGCACCATGAAGATTCAGGGAAAGAGGAGCATCCCTGTGCTCTGAGAGGATCCAGGGAAAGGGGAGCATCCCTGATGGAGCAGGGACTGCATTGCTTTGAGCCCCGAGGTTGTGCTGCAGCCCGGGAGGCACCAGGGTTGTCCCAGCGCCCCGTGACCAGCAGAAGCCAGGCTGTCCCTGCTCCTGTGCTCAGTGACACTCCAAACCTGGGCTTTGTACCTCGAATCCAGAGGGGAAAGGCTGCTTGGTCTGAGCTCCGTTCAGCAGCAAAACCAAATCCCATCTTGCCAGCAGTCCGGGCGCGCGAGATTCCTCGGGCACGACGCACGGGGGGGGGCGAGGGGACCAGGGCTGTTGGTTGCCACTTGGCCCTGCCATTATGACCCCAGATGGGTAGAGAAATCCCAGCTGCAGTCCCACAGCTGGATGTGAGAGCGTGGAAAGGAGCAGGCCGGGGATGTGCGGCCCCTGTGGCGGCTGCAGTGTCGCCTGTGCCGCGCGGGTCCTTAACGTGTGCCCCGTTTCCTCAGCTAAACGTGCGACTCAGAAAGTTGAGTTCAGGACCATAGAGGAAGAGAAGCAGAAGGAGGTGGTGGTGGTTGAGGTTCCTGAACCAAAACCTGCGGATCAGATCCGAGAGAAGCCAGGTATAGCTGTGGTGGTGGCTACAACTCTCTGCAGTGCCTTTCCTGTCCTCTACGTGCTTGTTCCTGACAATTCCAAGTTTCGCCAAATCTGACGGCTTTCTTTTTTCATTTCTTTGCAAGAAGAATTCTGCAGTGAGAGGAGACACAGCCCAGCTCTGGGAGACTCCTTAAATTTCCACCTTGCACCTTGTAATTCTTGTGGGGAGGTGGGGAAAAGTTTAGGATGTGATGGTACTTGAGAACTCTCATTAGATTTGGGTAGTTTTGTGTATGTCAGTTAGCAAACTTTAAAGTTTGATCTTGAAACTTCTCGTGAAGCTTCTGAAATTCTTCATCGTGGGATCTTCTCGCCATTTTTTAAGAGTTCTGGGACCTTTTTTTTCTAAAGTCTATTCTGGGATCTTTTTTCAGCATTTGAGAAATGCCACCCCATTTAGTCTGTGGAGCTTATATTTCTCTTAAGAGAGGCACTATTAATAAATATTAATAAATATTAATGTCCTTAAGAGGGGTGTAGGTACAACAGCACATTTGAATACTAATAAGTGTTTCACAGCACAGTGTTGTCAAATATTTGCAGCCTTCATCACTTGGATGGCGACCGCCTGTGGTGTGTTAGGGCTGGAAATAATTCGTATGCAAATGCTGTGGGTGCTGCTCTGCTTCCCTCCTTCCACCTGGAATTTTTTACAGTGTGCTTTTGACTGCATCACTATTTTTGTAGTATCTAGGTCCAGCTTTCATGAAGTGTGTCAGCCTTCCCCCCACCGTGGTCATGCCTTGATCTTCCCTAGTCAGCATTGCCTGGTGGGGAAAGCCCGATGCTGTAAAAACAGGGTGAGGAACTTCAGGCACCAGGGTAGACTGCAAGTGAATCACTCAAGTACATTTAATTAAAGCTGCTAGTTTTTATATAGGTTTTTATCTGGGTGTGTTTTGCCTGGATTTTGCCAGCCAGCACCCCTATCCCTCCAGACTCTGCAGGCAGAGCCCATCCTAGTTCCACACGTGTCCCCACGTCTCCCTGCCTGGGCAAGGAGCCTGCAAAGCTTATTTCTGTTGTTCTTTTCCCCTCTTGTCCAATGCACTGTTGGGTATGGCAGCACTAGAAAGGCTGGTGCACAATTCCATGGTGGAAAATGACTGTTGAGCTGCCTGGTTTGCAAACCTCTTTGCTGTTCCCAGCTGCTGAGAGGGATCTCCTCGCTCTTTGCTGTGGTGACCGTCGTGTGTCCGTGCGGGTCCCCAACCCCCATTAACACCTGCAAACCTCTTTCTAGCCAAACACACTCTTGAAACTTTTGAAATGAAACCCATTGCAGAGGAGGAAGAGGAGGAGGAGAAGGTAGAGGTGGTTAAGGTTCCTGTTGCCAAGCCCAAGTTCCCGGAGCCGGTGCCACCGCGGTCAGGTACAGCCGCAGCGGCGTTTGGTGGCTGCTGTGCTGTCACTGTGGGGGTGAAGTGATGCAGTGCTGTAGGACACAGGTTGCACTGCTTGTGGTGGTGTTTGTTGCCACTAAAATCCCCCCCTGGCTTTGCCGTGTGCTGCTTTCCAGGAGTGCCCTGGGTGAGGTGAGTGGGTGCCGTGGCTTGGCTGTGTGTGGAAGTGAGTGTGCAGTGGCCTCTTAACCCTCCTCCCTTGCTGTTCCTTCCTGGAAGGTTTGCTCCCCTGAGCTGTAGGAACGTGCAGTGCCTGAAAATCAGGTTATGAGATCCAGGACTGCTGGAGGTCACCTACATTCCACTTTATTTCTTCTCTAGGGAGTGCTGCTTCCCTAGTTGGAAAAGGGTGTCAGAGCAACGTCGCTGCTGCAGTCAGATCCACGCTAATCATGATTAAAATAGGGTTGATTAGTTGTTGCAGAAAGAGGAGACTGAAGCTGTGGAGGGAGGTAACTGAGAACTTCATGTTTTCTTGGTTAGTATGGAAAACACTGGAGGATATTCCATGGGATGGGGGGCAGCAGAGTGGACATCAGCCGGTGTCAGACCTGAGCACAGCCTGGGCTCTCCTGATGCAGCTGCCCCTTCTTATCCATCTCCTGCACTTTTCCTCCTCCTGACTCTCCCGTTCCCAGCAGGGACTGTTAGTGGGGTGATGGTGGTCAATCATAGAATCATGGAATGGTTTGTGTTGGAAGGGACCTTAAAGAACATCCAGTTCCAACCTGCATTTTATCTTTTATTTTGGGGCAGTGCTTTTTTACTGTGTTTAAATCGTGTGTCAAAATACCCTGAAGTAGTTAATCAGGAAAATCAACTAAAATACAGTTCTGGGCAGCCCAGAACTCCCTGTTGGATGGCAAAGGAAAGGCTCGGTGTCTGTTACAATTTTTCCTGCATGTCTTCATGCCCTGGGAGAGGAGCAGGAGAGGTGGCTGTGTGGATTTACTGGTGGCAGTATTTCCTTTGCTGCTTCATCTTTGAGGTGGCGTTTTAACACATCCATAACTTTTTTAGCCAAACGTGATCTTGGCAGTATTGAGATAAGCCCAATTGAAGAGGAGGAGGAGGAGGAGGAGGAGGAAGAAAAAATGATGGTGGTGAGAGAACTAGAGCCAGTCCCGAAGGAGCCAGGTACCGCGATGACGGCTTTGCTCTCCCAGCATCCTCCTCATCCCGGCTGTCCCTGCCATCCCACCTCTGTACAACCTTCCCAGCGGCTGTCACCGCTTCCATGGCATAAATACACCGGGACGTGGCACTGATTGTCCTCCTGAAAGGATAACACAGTGTCTGGGTCACAGAAGTGAGCTGCTGTGCTGAGGAGCAGGGAGAGGACGGAGCCTGTGGTGGTGGTGTGGGGTTTGGGGTGGGTCCAGGTGTTTGTCTTGAAGGTGTAATTGAAGTCTCTGGAAAATCAGGTTCTTTTTTGCCCCCCCACCTCATCTCGTGCATTTTTTGGTCATGTGGATGCTTTATTCTCTCATGTTTTATTTACACACAGATGAGATGCAGTGACCTTTTCAGTGAAACAGGAATTCTTACTATGGAGTTGCTTGAAATCACAATTTCTTTTTTAACAGCAGATTTTCCAGTGTCTTTGACTGGGCACCAGTGTTGGATGGGATGGGTTGCACAGTGTGATCCTGCTGCAAACTGTGACTTTGGGAATGTGGGACCACGTCGAAGATACTATTTTGGGTGTATTTTTAGTGGAACATCCGTAAAAACAACATCAGGAGAACCAAATAGCTTATTGTATCTATAGGTACACACAGGGAATTAATTGGGGCTGGCTTTGTCACACAGTATTGACTTGAATATTTCGTTGGAGTTGGGCCTTTCAGGGATCAGGAACTGCCTGGGAAATCAGGAATTGAAGGAAAGGAATAGGCAGTTGATTTTCTGTGGGGCTAGTGCTTGTGTTTAAGACTGTCATCCTCTGGAAAGGTGATTTTTTGGCAGCATGCTGTTCATTCCTGCACTGTCACTGACCTGGAGGTGCTGGGTATCTTCCCACTGTGCTGCCTTGGAGATACCCCACGGGACACACAGCCCAGCCTGCTTTGAATCCCACCTGAAAGTTCCTGTGAAGTTTTCTAGAGGGATGCTTGTTGGTTATTTTTTCATTTGAGTTGCCTAAAAGATTGGGGAGGGGGGGAAAGCCTGTGTTTCCCTTCCAGAAACCATCTGTTTCTGGTTGAGGAGGTGCCCACAAGCCCAGAACTCCCCATGCTGTGTCTGTTTTGTGGTGGCACTGGAGTGGAGTCCGTGTCAGTTGTGTGTGAAGGACCCAGAAATCCGTGGCACCATGTCAAATTCCAGATTTGCCTTTCTGGTGTGGCTTCTCTGCAGAGTGCAAGCTTGCTTTTTGTAAACCATCTGGTGTGGGGCTTTATTTGATTTTATTTAAACCATAAGGAAAATAATCCCAACTCTCCCGTACTAAATGCACAAGCTGCTTCGCTCAACATCTTTATTTCGTTTCCCTTTTTTTACCTCCTCCTCCTCCTCCCTTTCTTTTTAAATGACAGCACTGTAATTTGGAAAGACTTTGCCTAGAGCTTTGGAACATTACCTGCTCTGAACCTTGTCCCTGTGTGTCCCCCCTCCTCAGCAGTGGCTGTGATAACCCCGGAGCGGAGTCCCCGGCCCACCTCGGCCCCGGCCATCGCTCAGAGCCACCCTGCAGAGCCAGCCCCAGCTAAGCCTGACGTGAAGGACGTGGCCACATCTAAAATAGGGAAGGAAACAGCAAAAGCTGATGTGAGACGTGAGGAATTCCCACCAGAGAAAGCCAAGGCAGAGCCAGCTGATGCATCCAAGGTAGGTCAGACCGGAGTCTCTTGGGAAGAGCTGGAGTGTCACTCGAGAAGCCACCCCAAAGCAGCAGCTCTGTCCACCTTCCCCTCCTGGGAGATGAGGGGTTTATCCCTCTCCCAGGCATCAGGTGGGGAGCAGGCACGGGGGTTTGGCTGCCAGGGAAATCCCAGCCCTGACATTCCTTGTGGAAGAGGAGTCACTCCCAAGTTTTGGTGGCTGCAGTCAAACTGAGTGCAGCCTTAAGACGGTTAAAAACGCTGCCAAGAGCTGCACGTGCTCGTGGGGTTGGAGTTTAGGGCTCACCCGTGGCCAGGCTGTGCCCCTTGATTCCTGGTACGACAGCAGGAGGCAATTCCAGTGAAATCAGTGATATGGATCTGGCTGCAGCCCAGCGCCGGAATGTTTTTCACATTGATAGGCTGTGGCTGGGAGAGCTGGTAACACTGGTGGTAACACAGTGCTGCAAACTGGACTAAAACTTTAGTTGACGATGGCACTGGTGAGACCTTGGGGGGTTTATTGTTTAAATGCCATTTTTTTAAGCATTATTTGATCTTCCTACAAATGTCTGAGGCCTTTGCCGGGGTTGATATGTGTGTGTTGTTCTAATAAGTCAGAATAATGTGCAAAATTAATGTTGATATTACAGTGTCCTTAATATTCTGCAGATCTTATTGAACTGAAGCCTTGCAGTGGTGCAGCAGAAGTGTTTGCCTTGAGACACAATTTTCACATTACCCCAAAATTTAGCTGATCTCAGCATTGCTGGAGCCACATTTCCTATAACATATCACACAGTGGGTCTTATGTGACATCTCCAGGGGAAATCCCTCTTAATTAAGGTTGGGAGATGGAGGTAAAGGAAAGGACAGTTACTTCAAAAAATTCCATGGCCTGTGTGAGTGGTAATTTTTAACTGGAAGTGCTGAAGGGATCCTCAGGCTGGCACTGTGGAGTTGGAATTGGAGCACAGAGTTCCTGCCTGGCTGCTCCTCCTCCCTTGTGTTACACTGAGAACGAGGAAATTTTACTCATCCCATCTCACTTATTACAGGTTTTTTCTTAAGTGCTTAAACACTGGATTTTTTCCCCCTCCTTTAAATATAGATGTAGGAGGAAATTGTGGATTTGAATGTGCCAAATTTACCCTGTTTCTCCAATGTAGCTGCATCACTTCTTTTAACACCCACTGATGCTTTTGCCTTCAGAGTACTTGGCAACCCAGTTTCCCTAAAATACTTCCTTGAGAGTGTTAAGACAATCTTGGCTCTCTACTTATGGACAGGAAAGAACTTAATTAGTGATGTTAGGCTTGGTTTTGTAGCTAAACCTGCTCTTACTGCCTCTGCCAACATAATACCTGTGCATTTAACCAATAATTTCTGTTTTTGAGAAGGTCTGTGTTAATTGGAGCATGTTGCTTTGTTGGGATTTCACTGGGAGATCCAGCTGCAAATGACATTTGAAAACATTGCCTGGCCGAGCTAATGCAAGTGGGAAGCCCTTCTTCAGAAGCACTGGAGAGCACTGGTTTCAAATATAAATAATTCTCAAGCTGAAGGAATTATTTCACCTGCTGTTGACTAACAGAGCTGCCGTGCCATTAACCCAGGGCTGCATGTTGGTTTTTGCATGTTCCCCCAGCACCTCAAAACCAACTTTATGCAGCTGTGTTTGGAAACTGAACAGTTTCTTGAAACAAATCTACTAACAAGAAATGTTTTTACCGATTTATTTCTTAAATGTAGGTGAGGAAAACACACATTGAGGTCACAGTCCCCACCACGAATGGTGCCCAGCCCCAGGTTTGTGCTAATAATTCAGTTTAGGTTGCTCACAGTTGTTTCGCTTTTTTTTTTTTAAGGTTCAACATAGTTAAATGAACCAACTCTTTTTTTTTTTTTTTTTATCACTGCCCAACAGCAGCAGCCTGCAGAAAAAGAGGAAGAGCTGATAAGAATGAGGAAGGTTAGCCATTTTACCCTTTCACCAGCCAAATTTGCCATATCACTCATGCATCTGTAACATGTTTAAAAAGACAGTGCTCCAATTTCTTCCTGTGCTTTGGGTTGGGATGTTGGTTTTCTTTTGACTACCAAATACTTGATTGGAAAATGAGTAGTTTTTTTTGTCCCATAGACACAGCCTGATTGCTAAAATTATGCTTGTTGAATGTTCAAAAGAAACACAGTTGGCTTGACTTATGAAATTTATCTTCTATGTAACAAATTTACTTAGAAACCAGAGAAAACTGTGCAGTTTGCATTGCAGGAAATGCAAAAAAAAAATAAAAAAATGAAGAGGATGTTTTTTTTTTGGTATTGATTAAGTAACAGGGACATATCCAAGATGGGAAAGGTGGTTAAGGCATAGTTACTGTGCACTTGGGACCTTGTAAAGGTTACTCCAGGTAGTACAGCCTCACACTGGGGTGGGCCTGCATCCCTCAGGAATGTCACGTGGTGACCTGTGCAAGGCTTCCATGGAAAACCAGTAACTGTCTCTTTGTGGCCGGAGCTGAGGCCCCCGGGAGCTGTCTCTTTAAAGGACTCATCACATCTCCCATTCTCCATGAGCCAGACCCCCATTCCTGGTGGGAATTCCCACCCCACGCTGCCTCAGCGCTGCACTCCCGACCTTGAGTTAACTTTTTTAATTTGCCAATTTCTCGATCCCGCAAGACCAACGTTTTAATTTTTTGTGCTTTTTTTTTTTTTTGTTTGTTTGTTTTGTTTTGTTTCCCCCTTTCCTTTCATTTTCACAGAAGAGATCAAAGAGGCTAGATGGTGAAAACATTTATATCAGGCATAGCAATTTAATGTTGGAGGTTTGTATGAACTTGAAGCTTTTTTTGAGTTGCATTTGCCTAAACCTTCTGCATCTGCGCTGAACTTCTTCCTCTTCTGCTGCTGCCTTTATTTTGCATGCTCTTGCATGAGAGACCTTTTGATTTGATTTGATTTTTTAATTATGCTTTTGCATGGTGACAGTAAACATGATGATGTGCAGCCATTCTTCCTTCTACCTCTTCTGACTTTCATTCTCTCATACCTACCCAAAATACATGATTGGCAGAGCTCAGATCTGCTCTGGGACCCACTGGGTGCTCACAGGGGCATAGATTGTAGTGGGGACTAGTTTTTCATTGCTTGAAACAAATTACTTTCCTGGGGGAAAAGCCAGTCTATGAAAATACAAAATTCAGGATAAGCTGCAGGGGAAATTGGAACAGGTTGCCCAGAGAAGCTGTGGCTTCCCCATCCCTGGAAGTGTCCAAGGCCAGGTTGGATGGGGCTTGGAGCAACCTGGGCTAGTGGAAGGTGTCCCTGCCCTTGGCAAGGGGGTGGGACTGGATGAGTTTTAAGGTCCCTCCCCACCCCAACCATTCTGGGATTCAATGAAGTTGTCACCCCTGGGCCTTCAGGCCACCACAATGTCCATGTTGCTTCAGGCAGGAGGGATCCTTTTGGATGCTGCAGGGATGTTTTCATCCTCCTTCAGCCCTTCCTTGCCTTGCAGCACCTCACCACCCCCCAGGTCCCATCCTGCTCGGTGCCAGCTCCCCAGAGATCTGACGTGGGGGCTCAGTGGTCACAGGTGGCTCATCCCTCCAGGTTACAGCTCTTCCCTTTGAATTTGGGAGCCCTTTCCGTTTGCTTTCACCCAAGCACGGTCTCAGAACAGACCACGCCAATCATATATTTTAATTCTTTAATACACTGTGTTATGGGAGATGTTTTGTGGCTTCTGATACTCTGTGTTACGTGTTTCTACTCAGACTTGCAGCCCCAGCAGCTCGTAGGGTTTCCCTGTTGCCATCTCTTGAAAAAAGTGGAGTGAACCAACTGCCTTCTCCTAATCGGAATTTTCAAAGTTTTGCAGCTTTTGGGTGGCACTTTTTTTGTTTGTTTGTTTTGTTTTTATTTTTAATTTATTTTTTTTTTTAAAACCTGCTACAACGTAGAGCTTTGAGCCACGAATGAAGGGTGTGAACACATCAGTTCGCTGCTGGAGCTCTGAAGACTCTGCCTGTCGCCTTCTTCCACCCAACTCAAAACAGCTCCATCTCCCCAACCCCAAACAGAGCTTTGTCATCACTTCCAAACCCCTTTTTCCTGTTACTGCAACACCTGCCTCTGCCACCCAGCCCTTTCCCTCCCTGGTTCTGTTGCAGGTGCTCCAGCCCTCCCCTAGAACAGGGCTCACCCAGCAGCTCACCCCCTTCATTCCCTTTGTGTTTTTTAGCCCATGCATTTGGCAGATCAGATATTTTCCCAGCAGACCTCACCCTCCTGAAGCTGCCTGTTGATTTTGTTGAAAGCCTTTTAACTCTCCACCTACACCAGGTTCTTACAGAAAGGGAAAAACAGGAGGAAAAGGAGGTGACGCTGAGTGAGCTGGTTCCTCAAGGTGCTTTCCAGACCTGGCTCCACGTAGCTCCTCGTGGCTTTAGCTCCTCTCCAGCCCTCCCAGGCCCTGCTCCTGCACAGTGCTGGAAAAGCCAAGGTGGTCCTTCTCTCTTCTCTAAGCCAGGAGCAACTGTAGGGTTCCTGGACCCAGGCAAGGGATTTACCCCGGAGTCTTCAGCAGACTTATTTCTGCTTTTTTTCCCTACCCAGCAGGCACTTGACTTATACTTTCATCCAGAATTGATGCCAAAACTTGCATTTTTTCCCCCTAGAACTGTGCCAAAAAGAGTAAATGTTGTTAAAGAGGCATTTGGGGTTTAGCTGTGTCCTGGGTGATCTGCAGGGATGCAGATTTTTGGGAGGGCCCCTCCTTTAGGGATGTGTTTGCTCTTCCATCTTCTAAAATTAATGGGCTGAGTAACAACTGAAAGCACAAAAATGGTTAAATTTCCCAGTGATGCTTTTACTGACCTTGATTTCTCCCTTTCTTGCTGCTTTTTGGCCCTGTCCAGAAAAGTTGTTGTTTGGCTTACACCTATTTTATGCAGAAGCTTTGTTTTCTACAAACTCTGGTTTGCTTGCAAAGAAAAAGCTATTTTTACCAAGTTGACTTGCCTTGGAAGTCTGTGTGTTTATGCTGTAAACTGGCATCACAGAGTAGAAATCTGGCTTTTTCCAGATGGGAAAAAAAAAAATCATCAGGAGTTTTTTGACTGATCCAGCATAAAGGAAATTCTCAGTTTGATAAAAAAAAAAAAATCATCTCATCTTCATTTCAGAAGTCTAAAACCTCCTATGGTAGCTCCTGGAGGGATGAGATGAGAAGGAGGGGAAATAATGGTAATGGGGATATTCTGGGAGCAGAGATAATTCCTGTTAGGATTAAAGAGAAATAGGTATGAAGAGAGGAAAAAAAAATAAATTGGGAAAACATGTTATTGAACATTAATTGTATTGATACCTGGGAATATTCAGGCTTGCAGAGGGAAAAGAAAGCAAACCTACCCGATTTAAAAAATAACCCAAACAAACACAGTCTGGCAACTCTAAAAAAATAAAAATCCCATATGGGGGAAAATCCATGAGATTCCAGGTGAGCTGTCACTGCTTTGGTGGAGATTCTCCTGGAGGAGACCCCGCTCTGTGATTAATCCAGGAGGAGAGAGGAGAGAGGACGCTCCCTTTGTGTGTTTGCAGTGTGAGCAGCACTGGGGAGGTTCGGCCGCAGCCCCGCTGAGCGCAGCTTTGCTAAGCCCAGCCTAGGCAGTCCCGGCTCCTCCCCGCGCCCCTTCACTCATCCTGTCCCTTTTGCTGGTAGGATCTAGATAAGCCCCAGGAGGAAATCAAGAAGCACCATGCCAACATCAGCGAGCTGAAGAAGAACTTCATGGAGTCCGTCCCGGAGCCGCGGCCGAGCGAGTGGGACAAACGTCTGTCCACCCACTCCCCTTTCCGGACCCTCAACGTCAACGGGCAGATCCCCACAGGAGCGGATGGAGTGAGTACCTTGGGGCATGGGGGTGTTCCAGGGGGTGGCCTTTTAGCATGTGGGATGGTCCCTGGGAGAGTTGAAGTCGTAGGCGTCATAAAAATGCGATTTTTGTTTCGGCAGGGAAGGATGTAGGGATTCCTCACCTGCTTTTGGGGCTGGAGTTGCTGTCGCTGTGATGTTAGAGAGCACTTCCCATGGCTGACTTGGGGACTGGATCTCCCCAAAATGTTGGACAAAACCCACCTAAACTCTTAAATTAAGAGAATTATTACTTCAGTGATAATATTGCAACCCAGTGCAGAAGCACTAGGATGGGATAATTTTTCCGAAATCACTTTGTTCTCCAGTTTTTTCTTGGGGTTTAAACTTGCATTAGGAACTCCAGGTGCTGATCTGCTGTGGAGGCTTCAGGAAGACTCCTCAGCAGGGCTGTTCATACGTGATGGGAACCTTCCTCCTTCCAGGAACAGGGCCTGTGTGTTAGTAGCCACATACACCCAGTTTCTCTGCTAATTTCCTTAAAAAAGGTAATTTTTCAAAGAAACCCAGTTGGAACAGCAGAGATCTGTCACCAACTGGTTTCTTCTTGGCTAAGAGACACCTTCTCTATGTCATATTGGTGGTACCTAACTCAGGTTTGGAGCTTGTGAGTAAAACTGTAGTTAGCACCCGTGGTAATCAATCTCTGATTACTCTCTCACTCAGTAGTAAATGCAATTTTTTATTACAACAGAAAAATTGCATCCTGGCTGCAGTGGTGGCAGTTGGAGACTCTCTCCTGGTTTAAGCCCAGCTTCTCTCCTTCCTGCCCACAGCCCTGCAGATGAACTTGTATTTAATCTTCAAACCAGTGCAAGGGAAACACTTATTAGTCAGTAAATAGTCTTGCAGTGGATGGAGCACTGTAGCACCTACAAGAGGTTTAACACCAAGTTTACTACAAGCTCCTCAAAGTGTAGAGAAAACCCAGGACAGCTTAGGAAAAATGAAATCCCCAAATTGAACTTAGTCAGGGTTGATTGCTGTAGAATCACAAAGTGGTTTGGGTTGAAAGGGACCTTAAAGCCCATCTCATTCCACGCCCTGCCGTGGGACACCTTCCACTAGCCCAGGTTGCTCCAAGCCCCATCCAACCTGGCCTTGGACACTTCCAGGGATGGGGCAGCCACAGCTTCTCTGGGCAAACTGTCCTTGGGATTACCCATGGATAGACTTTGCTCAGTTTAAATCCACAGGAATTTGGGCAGCAGAGCTCTGCCCACGGTGCCAATGTGGTTTTTGGGGTGTGGGTGGGACAGAACAGGGGCTCTCAAGCCCCACAACTGCAGTTCAAGAATTATATTCTTGGTTATTATGGAGAATTTCTGACAAGGTGACCATATTGTGAGGTCTTGGATGGTGTGAGCTTGTCCCATCTAAAGCCACAGTGGGTCTTTAGTGTCCCTGGATTTGCATTTCTGGAAGGTCCCTCTTAGTCTGACCCTCTCCAAAATGATCTTGCTCTGAGGTGGAGGTGGACACATTCTGGGAACTTCCAGAAATGCATCTTCACCAGACACTGACCAGGGAGGGCGTTTTCCTTCACCTGCACGTGTTGAAGGATGGCAAATCATGATGGTAATTTAAGGCTGACAAATCACAGTGGTAATTTAAGGATGATAATTCACCGTGCAAAGTGGTACCTTCACCCTGCCCTAGTGGCCAAAGGGTTTTGTGCCAGGGGCTGCTTTTCTGCTGTTCCTGAATGTTTTATTACGAGACAACTGAACCTTAACACGCTTTGTGTGTCCAGGTCAAGAAAGTCACTGTCCTATCTTCTGAGAGACAGGTTGGTGGGCTTGAGGTAAAGCTGCTGCTCTGATCTGTGCTTCTGAACCAGACTTGCTATTGCAATGGCACCGAGCAAAAACTCGACAGCAGCTGCTGGATAACATTTTTTTCTTTTGGCTACATGAAGTAGTTTCATAACTCACACCCAGAGGTCTTTGGCTCTTGCTGCAGCTTTTGCAGCTTTCAGTTTTTGCTTATTTTGGTGCATGGCTGGTTCGAAAAAGCTGCATGAACGATATAACCGTGTATTCGGCGAGAAAAGCAATTCTGAAAGTTTAACTCTTCCCTGTTCTTTTTATGTTGTCTTTCTTTCCGTTTCTTTGTTGTTTTAACAATCATGTTACTCTGGCATTTTATATTTTCTTTTGCTGCCCAGTCTCCCAGCTACTTTCTCCCCAATTCTCACCACTTAGGGGTGTGCAAAGAACCAGTCCCAAAATACCGCACTGACCAGAGGAGGTTGGCTCAGCTGAGGGAGCTTAGAGCCAAGTTTTTCCTCTCCTAAGTACACTTGGATTTGCCCAGGGCTGCCAAACTAAAGGGATGGAGAGTTACTGCACAGCAACATTCCCCCAATCTTTTCTTTCTTCAGCAGAAGTGCTGGAGGCTTTGCATGGTCCTGTGTGCTGATTTACTCATTCCGGGTTTTTAACGTTCCTCAGACTCCAGAAACAAAAGTGCTAAAACACGGAGCAAAATTCCAGGAGCTTGCAGTGCTCCCACTGCCATCCTGCCCGTTCCACACGTGGCATTTCTGAGAATAGCAATTTTACACTTGTTCCAGTAGAATTTTCAGACCAATCAGTGTTTTGATACTCTGGTCAGAACTTTGGAAAAGCCTTTTGTATCTGCTCTGCAGTCTGGCTGCTCCATGGGATTTGCCAAACGCTGGTTTTAAGGGTAGATTAGGAAGCTGTCAGAGACCACCTTTTGTACTGCACCATCCCTGTTTCTAATGCCTCCGACTTTTTTCTCGACCATTCCAATTCCAAAACACTCCAGGAGGTTTTGAGCACCTGCTTTCCTGGCAGGGCAGGCACAAACCACCACAACCCTGATCCAGATGTTGATCAGTTCTGCAGGGAGGACATGGTTCTGTAGCTCCAAGGCTCGTGTGGCCCAGGCCAGGGGCTACTCTGCTCCCCAGGGCAGTTTATTTTACGTTGAGAAGAGCTGTCCTAATGCTTTGCACACCTCCAAGTGTCACTTTTGGCCACTTTCCATCTGTCATTTTTGTTCATCTCTCTCTGTCTTTCTTGATCTTCTACCACGAAAGCAGAAACGGGAACGTCCTCTGTTAGTACAGGATGAAGACAAATTAAAAAAGCAGCAGATACCTACTGAGACAGCCTTTCCCCGGCCAGCAAGTGAAGAAACTCTTCCAAAGGTTTCAATTGCAATTCCTGAAGAGCAGAAAGCACTCAAAAAGTGTCAGCTGTACTCTAGCATTTTTCCTTCTCCACGCATTCCCTTTATGATGTCCTTTCTCCTCGTTGTAGCACTGACTGTTTGGTGGCTGCTCTTTCTCTGAGTGGCAACAGGGTCATGTTGAAACCTCAAGACCAAAGCTCCTGAATTTCTTGGCCGTAGCCTCTGCTGCATCTTCCTTGTCCTGGTCTTTGATCTCTCTAGTTCGCTGTCCCGGGGAGGGACATCCCGCGACCGTCCTGTTAAATCCCTCTGTGTGTCCTTGTGTGGCTGGGATGGGACCTGGCAGGAGTGGTCTGGGATTGCTGGGTCCCTTCTGAAGTTTCCTACTGTGCAAAAGCAAATTCTTTGAACCCTGTTCCTGATTGCTGTGAGAGAGCAGACGGGGAGAGGAAATGATGGGAGGAGTCGCTGGCTTCCTGAGCCCCTGTAGACTTCACGTAGGAATTGCTAGAAAATTGCTTTAAAACTTGTTGTTTTTAATGTAAAATGTTCAAAAACTGGAGAACCTTTGATACTGGTCCAAAAGAGGCTTTGCAGTAATCTGCTGAATTATGGAATCCTGGAATGGTTTGGGTTGGAAGGGACCTTAGAGCCCATCTCATTCCAAGCCCCTGCCATGAGCAGGGACACCTTCCACTAGCCCAGGTTGCTCCAAGCCCTGTCCAACCTGGCCTTGGACACTTCCAGGGATGGGGAGTCCACAACCTCTCTGGGCAACAAGAGGTTGAATCTCTGGGAAGAATATCAGAATCTAATCCATAACCTCTCCTTTCCTAGGAAACTCAGATTGGCATTTCAATACAAAGTGCTGGTTCTCACTGCTGTTAGTGATGACTCAGGGACAGGGACAGGCAGCTTTTCTTTTCCCAGGGGGTGAAGCCTTTGGCAAAACATCCCAGCTTCCCTCTCCACCCCTATTCACGTGTCCAAGAAAATACACAGTGTTACAGGAGAAAACCCATTGCAAGGAGATATTAATTGTCAACCTAGATTAATCATTTCTTGGAATCTGATGGTCTCGGTGCACTTGGGATGTGTTTTGTTTCATTTGTGTGGAACTAACGGACTCATGTTTGCTGAGGTCACAGGGCTGGAGTCACCTGCTGTTTTAACATCCCCTCTGTTGCCATGTTGGCTTGGCCACATCAGGACACACTTCTGAATGTTAAAGCCCTCAATTGTTTTTGACTTCTTTACCCCAACCCTTGCATGCTGCCTGTTGTTTATTGCCTACAGTGTAAATGTCTGGATGATGCTCCCGTTTATCCCAGTTCTCCTGGCTGAGCTGTGCAGGCTCCAGCCCAGCTGGGCTGAGCAGAGCTGCTTTGTGAGCTGAAGAGAAGGTGGGACTTTGTGTCCGAGGGGTTTCTTTTCTGTAAATACTAAAGATGGGGCTGAGCTGAGCCCCCCGTGTCTCCTTTCAGCATTAATCCGTGTTTTCCTGCAGCTGCTGGAGGATTGGGCTGGACACAGTTACTCTGGGAACAGCCCCCAGTGCCACCAGTGGTGGCAGCTGCTCCAGCAGCACGGGAGAGAAAGGAGCAGACCTTTATTACAGGGACTAAAATGTGTGAATATATATAAATACATGTATTTATAACCCTTTCTAGATCTGTATCCATGTGAACAGTGTTATTTAGGAAGCAGATAAGCTTGCAGGAATAAGGCAAACATGGCATGTGCTGTCTGGTCAGAGGGTCTGTGGTGTGTCACAGACCACTCGAGCCACCTCTTGCTTTCAGTGTACAGGTTGAGGCTCTAAATGCTGTCTCAGAAACTTAGGTTGGTAGTGAAACTCTTTGTTTTAGTCCCACAGGAATCTTTCCAGTTCCTCTTGCACCCTGCTCCGATTAGTTCACCAGTTTGTGCCTTTAGGACTTTGTTTTGTGAGGATTTTTCATTGGAAAAGATTCTTCCCTTTTTAATACACTGCCTTTAATACAGTCTTCCTCCTTCAGTGCTTGGAAGTGTAGGAGTCAGAGGGTTGTTGTCCAGGTGAAGGAAAGTGTCAGCAGGCTGTGTCCCTGCATCCTTGGAGCATCCCTTGGAATGCACTTGAACTCCAGCGAGTTTGGGGTGGAGTTTAGGAAGACAAAAGTGGGCCCTGGAGAGGAGAGGTGGAAAGAGATGTTGAGGTGCCACGTGCAGAAGATGCAGGATGGAAGAAGCCAGGGGGATGCTTCTGGCTGGGATTCCCTGCCTGCATCTCCTTCCCAAAATTGGAACAGATATGCTGAAAAACAGGGACTGTTTGCTCTCCCCAACCTGGCTGGGGAGGGAAGGGATGGGAGTTGTGTGGGTGTCTCTTTGTTCATTTTCTGTCCATATTTCCTGGAGAAGAGCAGCTTAAACACAACAGGTGCTCCCTTCCCAAAGCCATTGCTCGGGATCCCTCTTGGAATGCACAGCTGAGGTTCCTGTGTGTGTCTTTTTGGTTCCTTGACAAGGACTTGGAAGCCACATGGGTGGCTTTGGCAAAGCCATGGTTTCTGTAGCTCTGTCACCCAATTCCAAAGGACCTGAAGTTTAAAACTCTTTGCCCAGAGCAATATCTGACCGGAGTGCTCAGGGTGTCTCATCCCAGAGGGGTGAGAGGTGGGCTCTGCCACTTCAGCTCAACTCTGTAATTCTTTAATTCAAACGGTCTCTTTCTTTCTCTTTTTTAATCTTGAGATAAGGCTGGTTGTCATCAGCAAAAAACCTTGGAAACTTTACACTCTGAGAACACTCAGGAACATTTTTGGGATTTGTATACCAGTTATCACTGCAGAGTATAAAAAAATTGAACAAATGCTTTCTGTTTCTCTGGCAGTTTAGAGGCCAGTTATATTCCTCTGGGTGGGTATGATCCCTCCTGACAGAGAATTCGTGTAGCTTATCAGGAACAGAAACCTCATCCATCTGATGCCACAGGGATGTGCCCTCTGGGCTCCAGCCCCTTTTCCAGTCCCTCCTCTGCTTTTTTTCCTGTTTGCTTGTAAGGCAAATGGAGTGACATCCATGGCATTCCGTGTAAGGTCTCGTTCCTGAACGTTATCTCTCCCATTTGTGCACATTCCGTGTCTCTTACACCTTGGTGCTGTGGTTTCACCCTTTTCCCTTGGTGTCCGTGCAGGACGCCCTCAGAGGAGGGATTTTGGGATGCCTGCTGTCATCCTTGAGCACAGGGAGAGCTCATTCACTCTAGTGCTGTTTAAGAGCAGAGGTCTCAGGGGTTTTGTAAAGGAACCAACTCCGTACCACTCCCTGTTTTCCTCAGGAACAAATTTGCTGGGAGCACTGGCTGCCTGCCCTGACACTGGCACCCATTAACAGGGATTCACACGCCCATGCCAGGCTGTGAGGGATGGAGAACTGAGTTGTCCCTTCCTGGATCCTTCCGGGATCCTGGAATTGTCTGCAGCCCGTAACCTCCTCCCAGCTGGCATGAGAAATCCTGATTTTTCAATGTGACCTGCTGCAGAAAATGACATTTTGGTGACTCTGGCGCACCAGGATAGGTCTGACAGCAGTTTTGATGTTAATTAGGCTTTCCCAGTGTTTTGTGGTGTGGTCACTCAGCTCTTTGGTGCTCGTGTGTGGGATCCCCTTAGGAGCTGTCGGGGCTCCAGCGTTTTCCATCGTGATTGGTGTGGTTGGCTCCACACTCACTTTCTGAATCTTCTTACCCTGGTTCTATCTCTTCTGAACACCACCTAAAACATACATGAATCTCTTGTGCTTTCCTGCTTTAGGAAAAGGTGGACATCAGTAATTTTAAGCAGCAAAATGCTGCTGGTGGCTTGGAACTCGGATTCAACTCCGAGGCCGTGCTGAGTGTCGGGCTCTACATGTGCTGATGCTCGAGGTGTTCACTGCTGCAAAACAACATCCCTTTTTTCTTTCCCACTGTTAAAAGTGAGCAGATAAATGAAGGTGTTGGCTGCTTCTCCTGCCACGTGCTGCCTCTGTTGGGGGGTCAGTAGAAGGTGAGCCGAGGACTCTCCATGGGCAGGTCAGGGCATGGAGTTCAGCCAAGACCAGCTCCCCTCCCGTGCAGTTTGTGCAGTGATGACCCCAAAGAGTAGGTATTCCCTATTTCCCTCCTGAAGTAACAAGGAGAAGTGGATTTCCTCAACGTGGCACCAGGGGAGTAGTTTATATTTGGAGGAAAGAGGCTGGGCTGGCCTTGCTGTGTCTGTACCACGGGGCTCCTGGGAAGGTTATCATAAAATCAGGGAATATCCTGAGTTGGAAGGGACCCATAAGGAACATAGAGTCCAACTCCTGATGGCTGTGGGCAAAGTGTCTTTCACTTCACATCAGTGTCAGTAATTTGTCGCTCTGAGAATTATTCCGCTTTGTTGGGTTTTCTTTTTTCTGGTCGTGAGTTGATGGCACCTGTTCTGACCTACAGAATGAGGAAGGAAGCTTTCTGGGCAAATTCAGCCCCAAAAAAGGATTATGGATTCATGCAGGAACTCTCTGGTCTGTACTTGGTAGTGGGTGACACTGGAGAACCTGTCAGTGGTGGTTCCTCTTGTGTCCCTGTTTGTGGTTTGTGAGGCTGGAGGGAAGGACTGGCCTTGCTTTGGGCCCCTTTGGGATCTTCTATCAGTGGTACATAGTGGTGTTGGGTCAGTTTGTGGGGACTAAAAACACTTTCTTTTTTACCTAAAATGCTCTCTTTTGGAACACTTTTTCGGTTTTGTATTTTTTCTCAGATTTTCCTTTGTAAATATGTACATTTATCATTAATAAATGTTGTTGCAAATCACATCCTCCTTTCCACTGCTTATTAACAAAAAAAGCTGTGTTAACAACCTGTGTTAATTAATTGCTTGGACTAACCCTCTGTATTCCTTTCTCAAATCAGAAGCCATCAGACCTTGGGTCACTGCTGGTGGCTTTCAGAGTGTTGGGTCAACTGGACACTCTTGGGTGTGGGTTTGGTGCTCTTGGGGAGAGGGGACACACAGCTCTGAGCTTTTAAACTGACTGGAATAACTTGACTGAGGATTAAATCCAACTTGGTTTAAGACAGGCTTTGTTTGCAGGGAGGTCAGAATGTTCAGCCCTCTACCAAATGCTTTATGTCACACTAACACCTTCTCCCTCTTTGCTTCAGAGACTGAATGGTAGGAAAAAGCAATTGCAGAAAGTTGTTCTGAGGGCAGAGGTGATGCAGATCCTGCACAGCTCAGCTGCGAGAGCCTCTGTCTGAGGACAAAAATGCTCCTTTTGGGTTTTGTAAGTGAAGAAACCACGTTCTTAATGAACCACCATTTGTCTGCTCCGTGATACGACACAAGCCTCTGGTTGGGTTTTGGCTGGTTGAGAGGTTGTGTTCAGAGACTGTATCAAGAGTAATTTTTGATTCTAACTGCCAGCTTTTCTTTGGTGAGATTTATTCTGGATAAACCATTTGGGTCATCCTGTGCTGTCACAAGGGATCCCAGGAAGGCAGATCTGGCTGCTCGTGCTGCTGCTCACTGGGACGAACCTGGCACCAGAGCAGAGCTTTAACTTCAGTTATGAAATGAGGGAAGCAAAAAGCAGCAGAACAAAATTGATATCAGTTATAAACTCTGATGTGTTATCCCTTCTTTGCCAGAGGCAGCTCTTGCAGTGAGTGCCACTGGTTTGTTCTCTGCAGAGGGAATTTGGAATAAGAAGCTGCTCATCCCCCACAAAAGGGATGGGAAGAGGACCTGGGATGGGTGGACAGAGGAATCATATTGCCCAACAAGGAATCTTATTGCCCAGCCACCTTATTTTGATAATTTAAGTGTTGATCTTGATGTGGTTTCATGTTGCCAAGTCCTTGATGCAGTGGTTGGAGGTGATTGCTGTATGTTGTGTAATATCCTGAATTCTTGCTCAGGACTTGAATTTTGAAGCTTCTAGCACATTGTGTCTTTTCTAGCATTACTTTTAATTTTGGTCAAAATCTCTTTTATCCTTCTGTTGTCTGACTAGGCTGGTCAGGATGTGATCAGATCAATGGCAATTAAAAAGATCCATCCAAGCCCACAAATCCATAGGTAATGTCTGTCCTTTTCAATGCCAGGGTGTGTTGAACAGCTTCTAAACCTTTTTTAACTTCTGTCTTTAAGACAAAGCAGTTCTGTAAGGCAATGGCAGGTACTGTAAAATAAGGCTCTCTTGTTTTCTGCTTTATAATACTTTTTACCCAAGTGCTTTGCCAGCTGTGAGATTGAGCATCAGTTGATCTGGGAGCGTAATCTGGTGAGTGTGGTTTGCTGCCAAAGCAACATCATCTCCTTGTGCATCCCTAGATGGTCACTCTGAGCCTGTGAGCTTCTGTGGATCCGTGTTTGGGGATAACCTAATAACAGCCTTCACAATTCCATTGCCACGCTGGGAAAGAACAGGATTGGGAAGTGCTGACCAGCTGGGATTTCTAGTGTGTCATGCAGTGGTTGTAAGGAGTTAGTGAGCACTGTAACTTCATGGGCTTATTAATTTTTATAAAATATGTTTAGTAACTGGCAGTTGGCACCACTTTAGCACTCCTTAAATCTCCTGCAGGATAAAAGTATGGTTTGGGATGAGAATAATGAAATATTCTACAGAGAGAGGCAGCGGCATGAAAACAACACCCACTCCGACAGCTCAGGGCAGTTGGTTCATATAAATAGATCCTGATGCAAAACAGCAGGTTCTTGAAAAAATACAGGCAAATTTACACAAAAACACTTTAAAAAAAAATAAAATCCTTTTGGCCACTGATATCAACCATGTAATTAAGCCTGTTATTAATTTATCCCCAGTCTGAATTATTGTGTGGCACTTTACACTGCAACGCTTCAGCTGAGTCCTCAGGTGCACAAAGGTCTGTATTTAGAGGGTGGTGCTTTAGTTGCATTCGTGTCTGGGGCAGTTTGTTTCTTCTGGGGCATTGCATCCTGTCCTTTATTTAATTTACACTGTGTTTGGCTGCTTTGTGCTTGATTTAGGCCTTGCTGGTTTGGGGTTGTGTCCGTGGAAATGAGTAGTTGGCAGCCCAGGCACCTCTCAGGTTTCCTGGGTCTCAAGGAGAGCTTGGAACTCTGCAAATCTGAGCCCTTAACGTAGGGATGCTTTTGCATTTGCAATTGAAAATAAATCTTGATAAGATCAGAATTTGTAACAGATGCTGAAATTCCCAAGGGGGGGGGAGTTTTATAGAGATAGTTTTATCTGGAAACAAATACCTTTCCATTGCTCTCTCTTCTTACCAGTGGAATAGGAAGGCAAGGCAAAAAGTACTTCTGATCAGTTGATCTTATCAGGATTTCGTTCTGTCTTTCCAGCTTGCATGTTTGCTGCTGCACTTGGCTCTACTGGTACCAGGATATGCTTGGCACAGGCTCCATTCCAGCTTTCCCTTCCTTTATGCCTCTGTCATGCAAGATACTTCCAAAATGCAAATTATTTTCTCTGTCTGTGAAAGGGATTTGGGAAGATGTTTTGACTGCATACAGGTTTTTGTCTCTCCAATAGCTCAATGTTTGTGTAGCTGGTTAATCTGCTTTGTTTTATCTGTTATTCTTGCTCTTGGTTGAGTGGTGCCCCAGCTGTTTTGTAAGGAAATCTCACTCCTAAGGCATGTTCCATTAAACCTCAGAAGATGTGCTGTGTCTTCTCAAGATCCCATGGGTAATTTGCAAGGTTTAGCATATATAATTAAGGGGAAATCATAATATTGGCAGTGTATAAATTCAGGTTTTAAAACAAGATTAAGGCATGGGTGTTCAACGCTGATAACCCCATTTCTATTCTGTTTTGTGGAATATTGCAGTGGAGTATCTTGTGTTGAGCAAATGAGGGTGGATATAGAATCATGGAATATCCTGAGCTGGAAGGGACCCCCAAGGGTGATCCATCCAATTCCTGGCCCTGCACAGACACCTCAACAATCCCACCCTGTCCCTGAGAGCATTGTCCAAACCCTCCTGGAGCTCTGGCAGCCTTGGGGCTGTGCCCACTGCCCTGGGGAGCCTGGGCAGTGCCCAACCAGCCTCTGGGGGAAGAACCTTTGCCTGAGATCCAACCTGAGCCTGCCCTGACACAGCTCCAGCCGTTCCCTGGGTCCTGTCCCTGCTCCCCCAGAGCAGAGATCAGAGCTGCCCCTCATGAGGAAGCTGCAGACTGCCATGAGGTCTCCCCTCAAATATTCCTTTGGAAGAGGACTTGTGAAACTGGATTTTGATCAGAAATAACACTCCACTGTGAGCACAGTCTGACCTGACCATCTCAGTGCTGCTCCTTGTCCCTTCACTCCTGTTAAGTGCATTTTGCTCAGCAATATCCCAAGAACTTAAACCCGAGAGACTGGAAATCCTAATGGATAGAAATCCTTACAGCTAATCCATCTGCAACATAAAGGAGCAGAGAACTGAAAAATACCCATGAGGAGTTAGGGAAGAACTAAATGACTCTAAAAAAAGCATCTATTTGTTCCTGCATAAAGCAGCTCCTGGTCTTACCCTACCATCGAGTTGTGCCATTACATGAGGTCAATCAGGGTGAGAGCCTCTGGTGTGTAAAAAATGCATTGTACCAAATATCCCACGGGCTTTAGACCTCACAATTTAAGCACAGATTACAGTTTTTTGGTTGCCCAGGGAATCTTCTTATTAGAAAGTGAGGCAACGGTTTCCGTTTGTCTTAACACCACCACCAAAATTGGAATTACAGTTGGCAAAATGGACTTGCCATGTTTTTGTGAGAATTTAATCCCTGTTTTTCGATTAATAGATATGTGGCTTTTCCTATGCAAAGTAACCAGAAATCAACCATGAGGTTAATTACTGAAAAGAGATAGTCCCTTGGGGTTTTCCCTCTTGTTCCCTGATTCTGGATGATGTGACAGCTTGAATACCTGTAAATTGTGGGGCCTGTAACTGCTAATTCTGCCTTTCCTTGGAGGCAAATTTCCATGTCAATAAGGAGAGAAACTCAATTTCCAGCACATTGTCTTGTTCCTGTTTTAACTCTTGCTTTCTGTCACTGGTGTTCCCTCCTGGCTCGAGGGCTCCCAGGGGTGCCAGAAGACCTGGGTGAGACCTTGCTAAGGAGCTGAACAGGAGCAGGAATCTGATTCTCTCAGCCATTCCTAACTTGTAGATATTCCTACAGCAGTTTTCCCAGTGCCACAACGACATTGTGTCAGTTATCCTGGAATTACAACAGCCAGGAGGGTGCTCAGAGGGGGGTGAGCATTCCCAGGATGGGGAAAGAGCAAAGCACAGGGTTCTGTGGATTGTCTGGCAATCCCAATTCTGGGCTTGTTCTTTTCACTCCACTCCAAACACTGTATAAAGTATTTCAGTGAGTTAAAAGCAGAATTGGGGGATGGTTTTGGGATAGTGGGGGGGTTTTGTTGCACATGGGAATTTTGGATGTGCACAAGTCCCCACTTGCTACACTGAAATTATTCCTGTTTCCAAACCGGGCAAAAAACGCTTAGTGGTGGCTCTTCCTTTAGGTGCAGGGAGTTGTTTTTATATTAATTCCTTAAAATTTAGAAGAGTGGATTATTAATGTACCGGGGAGGCTGTGTCAGTAAATGCACTGGGTACACCATGTGGTTTTTCAGTGTCCAACCCCACTGTTGCATGTGTTACTGGATGATACCTGATAACAAAGCGATGTTTTGCCTTGATGCCTCCTGCCCTCCTGCTCTCCCTAATGCTTCTCTTTCTTTCTCTCTCTCTCTCTCTCTGGCCTTTTTTGTGTATCCGTTTCTTTTTAGAAAATGAGTGACTTTTCCT